GTCCTCCGTGAACGGCTCACCCTCCCTCAGTGTCCTCTGTGGACGGCTCACCTCCCCTCAGCGTCCTCCGTGAACGGCTCACCCTCCCTCAGCGTCCTCCGTGAACGGCTCACCCTCCCTCAGTGTCCTCTGTGGACGGCTCACCTCCCCTCAGCGTCCTCTGTGGACGGCTCACCCTCCCTCAGTGTCCTCCGTGGACGGCTCACCTCCTCTCAGCGTCCTCCGTGGACGGCTCACCCCTCCTCAGTGTCCTCCGTGGATAGCTCACCCCCTGCATCCTCCGTGGATGGCTCACCCCTCCCCAGCGTCCTCCGTGGACGGTTCACAACCCCCCTCAGCGTCCTCCGTGGATGGTTCACACACCCCCCAGCGTCCTCCATGGACGGTTCACTCCCCCTCAGCATCCTCCGTGGACGGCTCACCTGTGCCTTGAATGGTCAGCAGCAGCAGGCCTCTGTTATGGGGCGGGGCTCTAGTCTGGCCACAGCAGCAGCCATTGAAAGGCCATCCACTTACACACAAACATTCTAACGCCCCCATCAGAGCTGTGGCTCAGCATCGAGACTGGATCTGAGGGCAGGAGTCCCCAGGAACTTACCTGCTTCTACAGGGACTGTCTTCTGATAAGCAGGGGACACCTTGGCGACGTCCTCAAAGGTGGACGCATTCTACGAGATGACAAAGGAACATCAGGGAGGTGGGTTTGTCTCCCTCACAAGCTGGCCTCACAGACTGACTCCCCGCCCGGTCCCCAGTCCTGCGTCAGTTCTCCTCCACCACACGCTGGCTTCCCAGAAAGCAGGGGGCCCAGTGCAACGTCAGCCCCAGAGCCACCACGCTCTGACCTCCCCACCTCTCGGAGCCTAAGCACTTCCTGACCAATGACCCAGGGCAGCCACTACAGCACCCACTCAGTGCTTCTGCCGGGTCTGCAGGGCTCTTCCGTTTGGCCTGCTGGGACCTCAACCCTCATAGCCCACCACTCGGGAGTGCAGCAGTATCAAGGGCAGCTCTTGCTCCAAGCCTGGACACGTGCTATGTGCTCAGGCCTAGAGCCTCCCGACTCTGTCCTTCCTGGCCAATTCCCACTCACTCTTCAGAGTGGAGCTGAGACCCTCGCTCCTCTGCTGGACAGCCCTGGCTGAGGAGTGTCTGGGGGGCTGACTTGGGGCCCGATGACAGCAGACTAAGGGCCACAGTGGAGCCGGACCCTCACATCTCTGCCCAGTCCGTCCATCTGGAAACCTCCAGAGCTCAGCATGTGAGGGCCCACACATCACTAAACTATGGAAACACCACCAGCAAAGAAGCTCGCGGTGGAGCCTCAGGGGCAAAGCGTCCTGGTAGCCATCCTGGGCGCCTGGGGTCACAGGTGGCGCTTCTGCCAAGGCAGTCATGTGCCAGGTCTGCATCGTCCAGCATCAAACACAGGACACAAGCGGCCACCACACTCTTCAAATGCGCCCCTGAGGAGCTCATCTTCTGCTGGACAGCGTTTTAGGGACAATTCACAGAGCCACAAGTCCCAGAGGCCATGGCATGTGGCGTGGCACCGAGCCTGTCTGCTCACTGTAAATGGGGACACACAGAGGCACACAGTCTGGCAAAAATACCAGGTGGGTAATGGGGACAAGGGCACTTTGGAAGAAATGCCTGGCAATCCACTGCTGAAACTCAACCACTGAAATCCCCCAGAGACAGCACCAGGGCTGGTTCCTGGTCATCAGCAGAAAACCTGGAAGCCTGGATCTGAAGGGCTTACCTTGTCCATCCGGTCCTTCTGCACCCCGTATTTCCCACCGAATCCTCTGGAGTAGTCTGTAAGGGGGGGCACAGCACAACACGCACCTCAGGCTGAGGTTGAGCTAGACACAGACCACATGAGAAGACAAGGGCGAGGCAGGAGCAGCCAGCAGATGGGAGGCATACATGCTGTCTGCATTCCCGGGGAGACAGGGCAGGTGACAGGGCGCAGAACAGGCGTGCGCAGCCTCCCACTCACAGTCTCCCACACCAGGCAGCTGCCCATCCCCCACTCCACTCCGAGGCACAGTGGCAGTGTTTTCTCAAACTTTGAGAACTCCACCACGTGGAAGCCAAGTCCACCAGCCAGACCCGTGTGCAATAGCAGACCCAGGCATGTCGCACAGCCGAGCAGGTCCCTTCGTACCCAGGGCGCGGTCCCCAGCCCACTCTGCTGTCGTTGTGGGCAAGAGTCGCTTTCGACTCCAAGATGCGCCATGAGACGCAGCAGGAGTGCCCCGCAGGGCTCCCAGCGGATATCTTTGCAGGAGTGGATCATTAGGCCTTTTCTCCCTCAAGATGCCAGTGAGTCCCACGCGCCAACCCTTCCATTGGCAGCTGGGTGCTTAAACACTGCACCCACGGGGCTCCTCATTTACGCGCCTCGACGGACGGAGGAGACGGCAGTGTTCCCAATCACGGGCCTAGGGTACGCGATAACAGCTCTTGGAGAAACAGAGTCAGCCATGCCAACTCCTACTCCTATCAACCCTGTCTAAAGAGAAGCTGGTAGGTTTGAACCAGAGACCTTAAGGTTAGCAATCCAATGCTTATCCACAGTGCCAACCCCAATCCTATACATACACATGAAAATGCCTCTTTCAGCGCTGGGTGAACACGGTGGCATCAAAACAAAGTACTCCACCTCCTGGCCACGGCCCCCAAAACACCAGCGTCAATGTGACTGGCGAGCCTACTGAAGACACGCAGCTCACCTTGGTGCTAGGGACAGCCCAGGTGCCAGGAGAAAGGAAGCAGGGCCACGGGACCATGGGGCAGAAAAGAGC